TGACAGTTTTTGCTGTTAATTCTTTATTAAAGTTATTCACTGCTTACTTAAAAAAAGAAAGGGGGAAGTTAACATGAACTGGATGTTTCAGCTCAGAGTAAAATGCTTTAACAGCTCCAATAGCATTAAATAAAATTATATGTATTTATAAAAATTTGTCATGATGACTTTTAATGCCATTTGGTAGCTGAAGTAATGAATATGTGTAGAATGGTAATTTTAAAGAGCCATGCATGCTTACTTTTTTTGCTGCAGAAGTACAAAAGTACTGGTGGTAGAGTTTTTTTCTTAATTACGTCTCTGAAGTATTTCACCGTGTTTGTTCTTTGCCATGATTATCATTAGTCTTGTTTAATGTATTTTAAACTTATATAACATTTTGTTTAGTGTTGCCATTTTTTCTTTAAACCCTACATGGGTTTCAAGCAGTGCACTTTCTGTGGGATTAAATTAGTTCCCAGCTGAAGATATCACTAAAGGTACACACCTGAGCTGCACATGCATTGCATAATGTAAGGTGAACAGAAAACAATCCCTTGCAGCATGTTGCATCAGCTTTTTTCCTCCAACACTGATAAACAAATATGTTGTTACTAGCAAAATAGAACTCTAATCTAAATTTTAAAAAAAAGTAGGTTACGTAATGTTAGTGTTTAGATCTGTATTTTCTGGTCTTCAAAGAGACATCTACATATGCCAAAACTACCTTTTCCCCTTTTGCTTTGTCATGTTGGCTCTCTTTCCCTTTCCCTCTCCTGTCTGCTTGAGGTAGATGGTAATGAAAAGTAAACTCAACCCAAACATTCTTTAGGTGTAACTGGTGTGAGATAATTATGCATTAGTGGATATTTTGTCATTTCAAGGACTGTTAATTGTTTTTTTTTAAAAAATGCTTGCTTCTTTCTTACTTCTTCCCAACTGAATGGGGAAATAGTTTTAAACAACCTAGAGTATCATTTTCTCCATTTCTTCAAAACAAAAAATCCACACATATGTGTGCCTGTTTGTGTGTATATATATGTTTACATATATGTATTCCAGATAAGTCCAAATATTAATCTACATAAAATTGTGTGAAAAGGGATTAACTTTCAAGAAGAAAACCAGAGACATAGGGTAGGGGATTTAAAAATGCTGTTCATCAGCACAACAGAAGTGCATTAGCATTGTCAGTTATCGCAGACATGGTGATCTGAAATATGAGAGGACAACCTGACAGGCCCTTTTCAGGTCCCCACTCCACTCTGCTGGTATGCAGGCTTCTTTCATGTGGTGACAAAATACTTGGGCTTCTGGACTCTCTTGCTGAGAACTTGTGAAGGAGATATTCGTCACTTTTACAAAGAGTGACTTGCTAGGGTACCTGGACAGGCTTAACCACTTATTGAGGATTCTGCCATCATTCCAGGGCTGTTAATGCTGTGGAGGACTGACATAAACTTGATTAGTGAGTATGTTCTGGGAAGTGAAACAGGTGAGCCATGAGTTTGGAAGGCTGAATTTGGATCGAGCCTGATTTAAGGTGGGAAAAAGCTAGTCATCTGTTCTGAAACAGGAGAGGCAAACTTAAGCAGGGTACTCAGAGGTGGATGGCTAGCTCAGCAGGGCTTGGGTGGGAGATGGACCCTGTGGAATAAAGCTTCAGACTTGGAGAGCTGACCTGTTTCTTTCAGTGTCCTATTCCTTAACCAGTTGTTGTGGTCAAAAAGTAAGGGAATTTCCCCTCTGCTACACTGTTTTTTTTTCTCTAAAATATCACCATCTTTGTTATGGAAACCTGGGTATGACTGTCACTAGCTCTAGGTACTGTCAGTGAGACTTGTCAGTTGGAAAACAAACTGATTTTGAATGAAGATGTAAGCCAGTGCCATTATCAAAGTGCTGTAATGAATAATCACAGCACTAAACTCCAAGGTCTGTATGTAGTAATACAGATGCTTTAGCTTCCAGATTTGATTTTTCATCTTGCTTTTTTGAGCTACCCTATGTTGACTGCTATAAAATCCTTTTTTCATCTCTCCCTCTGGTTCTGTGGCATCAAACCAAAAAGCGTGTCTCATCTTTAAACAGGCGCTTGTGAAGGGAGTACCTGAAAAGGGTTGGGAGGTTGGTCAGCAATAGTATATTGATTCTGAAATGTATTGAGTAGCTTTTTGTTTATTTATTTAATTTTTAAAATTTTGTAATCCATCATCCTGTCACAGTCGAGTCACTGCTAAAATGGACTATGCGATCAGAGGGGGAGAGAGCCACTAACAGAAGAGGGAAGGACATGGCTTTTGATAGCTCTCTGATGTAATCTCAAGCATGGGTCAAACTGTGTTGGAGAAATGCTAGTAATTTAATGTCTCTTTCTGCCTATGAGTCTTAGGTTGGTAAGATCGGTGTTGATGCTGGATTGTGACTTTGGTGCAGTCACATAAGCATCTGGTTTGAGTCTTTCTCCATGTTTTTTTGTAAATTGGCATAAAGCTAACTTAGTCTTTAAAGTCTCACGCTTGAAAAGATAAGAACCTTTGGAAAGAACGTCTTCTCTGGTCTTTTCCAAATGGAAAAGTTTTAATCTAACCCGGACATGAAATATTTATAAAATGGATGATTTATAAGTGATGGTGTTACGGCCTTTCAGGCTGAAGCAGGTAAGAGTAGCCATGGTTTGTTATAAAACTTCTGAACGTTTGGTCTTTTGTGTTCTAAATGTGGCTACTCGTTTCACAACCCCTAGAAGAGTGCAATCTGGAAACAGGTGAGGAAGGATGTTAATGAAAACTGGTTGTTTGCCCTGTACAGGCAGAGGTACCGTTGTGAATTCTGACTCAGCCCATCCTCTGTGTGTCTCTTTCTATAAAATATTGTATGCTTAAAAACTCAACCCCCAAACCCACTTTTCCTTTTTTGATACTGTAGTAGTTGAGTAACTTAATACATGTTTTGAGTTGGGCTCATGTAACACCTCTGCCCTTGAACGCCTGCTCACAAAGGTGTTTCTCTCACTTGCTATGTCTGATCAGGTGTATGTGAATTACCACTGTAGGAAAGAAGTTACCTTTGTGTGGGGTGAGATTTGGTAACAAAACCATCTATGTTTCTTCCGTTTTCTTTTACGACTTCATATTTTTGTTACCTCTGCAGTTTTGCAAGCCACAAGACTAAAATGGTTACACTGTGGCTTTGCGTGTGTATTGCCTTAGCTGGTTACAGAACAGGTTTGTGTTTAGTGTTCACAACTAACGTGACAAGTATAGTACTCTGTGAGCTGATTGTGAGGGGGTGCGTTGTTCAACACTTTAAAGACTCAATCATATATGGAAATCCAGAGGGTTTAATTCTTAAACAGATGAATTTTGGAATAGGTCACTCATTGTCTTGAATCATTTCACACGCCTGTCTCAACAGACACAAACCTGGGCTTTTCAGTAGCTTCTGTTAATATAACAGAACTCATAATGTTTATTGCCTTTTCATGGGACAACTAATTTTTAACTCTTGGGTGTTTTTTGTTTGTTTTGTTGAGCACCTGGTTTTATTTCCTTGTTTAATTGAAAACGATTAGTGATAAGGGTGTGATTATTTCATGGGGTGTCACTTCAGGATTTTAAATGGTAATTCATGATAGTTAAAGGTCAGTGCTGGTGGGAATTTTGAGTATTTATCCGTGTATTATCAAGCTGATGTGTAACTGTCCTTTTACAAATATAAAGCAAGCTGGTCATATTACGTAGTTAGGCTTGCACAATAATGGCGGGGCAAAGGGAGGGCGAGTATTGCATTGTTGTTGAATCGTCTTTTTTGTTTAGCTCTTTCTGCTTATAGGCTTTTTAGAAGTAACTGAGGATGAGAGAACTACCTTGTACTAGCTTAGTTTATACTGGTATGAAAATGCCCAAGGTAAACTAATTATTCAAGTGGTATAAACCCAGTAGAATGATTTTATGCCAGATGTTTTCCTAGTGGTAATGTGTATAAGGAGAAAAATAACTGTTTTCTTTGTTCTGTTTTCTGTAAGACATTGAAACTGAGGCTTTGGTGTTATTCTTCAACTAAAAATGAACGTCTTTTCTTAGGAGATACCTGTGATGAAACCCATGCTGATGAAATTAGTACAGCAAAAAATAATGCTCAGAGAAGAAATGCATATTTAGTCTGCTTAAAACTTCCTCTTAATTTGACTTACAAGTTTTTCAGTTACTTTTGAGTGACTTAAAATGTTCATTAAGTTTAATTAATATTAAGCATGTCAAATTTCTATTCCTTCAGTACCAAATATGTTATGTGATATTTAAAAGGAAATAAATCCTTGTTAATGGGTTTACTTAATTAATACTTAAGAAAATTCTGTGAAAATTAAGTATGTTAAATTATGAAAAAAATCAGCATATATTTTAAATATTTCAATACCACGTTACTTTCGGTATAATTTTAAGTACTGAATATAAGGGTAGTGATCCAATTAAAAAAAAAAAAAATTTAAAATATATGGTATTTTCTTATTTGGTTTTGCTCTTCTCTTGTGATAACATAAATAATTAGTAAAAACCTACCTTTGTGTAGTGTGATAAATCTCAGATGATATATTTTACAGGTTTTGGATGAAGACCTTCATGAAGACCTTCATAGGGTATTTGAGTTATTAATATTTCAACAGAGGGCACTCACGTACTTCGAGGTAACACCAGATCACCGTATTTTTAAAGGTGCTTGGAATAAGCTGGAGCTGAAGATAACAAATTTTGTGGGTAAAAAGATATAAATGCAATTTGATAGTGCTTGGGTAAATTGAGCATCGTCATAGTAACATTTTCATTTCATATTCCTCCTAATTTTGTGAAATTATGTTGTTTCTTTGGATATTTTACAGTATGTTGAGGCAGTGGATTCATTTTGCCTTGAACTGACTCTAATAGATGCATTATTATGGCTTTCTAGCCGAGTTGCTCTTAGTCTGTTAGATTTAACAGTTGTAATAATGAATCAGAATTTAATAAATACATTCTTTACAGCTAAAAAGACAGTAGAAGAATCAGAAGAAAAGAAAATAGTTCAGTCAAAGAAAAGGATTAAAGAATTAAGAATTTTGGATGGAAAAACTGCACAAAACTTATGTAAGTGATGTCAAATGCATTAAGTGAATGTATGCACGACTGTTCTTAAATGTTTTATTTCCGTTCTGTTTACATGTGCAATATTATTTTTCTAAAAACAGTCTAATCTGAATGTGAGTTAAGTTCAGAAGCGTTTTACATACCTATGATTTCAATTCACTATACAAATTGGGAAAACTTAAAGTAACATGGAAAAATGATGTAGACTTAAATGTTAATGAACTATATTTTTTTGTAACAAAAAGTTGATTCTTTCATTAATTGCTTTAGACTGGAAGTATAAGGGAAGGCACAATGTTGGTAGGTTTTGTGGGTTGGAGTTGAGGGACCATTCATAATGGTTCTTTCTGGTTAAAGCAATGGAGAAATAGAGCTTGATGGGGGTTAGACTTTTAAAGAGAAAAATATTGCGAAATAGGGTAAGTTAGGTGCAAATACTACTACTATAAATTGTAAAGAAAACAGCCCCATGTATTATTTTTAACTTGCCTCTCCTCTCTTTAATTATGGACGGAAATCAATCATTGAGAGTAGTAGATGCTTTTATTTGAATTAGATATACCATAAAATGTCACTGGTCCATCTATGCCCATGGCAAATGGAGTAAAACCAAGTCTGTGCATTGTTTATTACCACATCCATGAGCACATTTTCTTAAGCAGAAAATGCACTATGACACAAGTGATATAAAACTTCAAGTTTTGAAAATATGGATGCAGCAAAATCAGCCATAGTAGTTAGATTGAATATACAGCACTTTATTAAAATGGTATGCTAATCCATCTGTGTTAGGATACTTTGTAGTTTATTGAACCGGGCTCTGTTGAGATGTTACAACATCCTGAGATCAAATTGCTTTGAGAACTCCCACCTTTGAAGGGTATACAATATACATTGTCTCTTGTATAAGTTTAGTTGCCCTAAAAAGTGGTAGAGTTAGGGTATTGGTTTTTTGTCTTTGCCCAGCTCTTCATTATCCTTTTGACATGGAATTTTTTCTAGAATGTCATGTAAATGTCACTCAACCAATTGTAAATGCAGTACAGCTATTCATACATGGTTATGAAAGCAAAAAATAATAGCAAAAGTCTCCTAGTGGCTGAAAAACTCTGTTTAAGTAGTAACGCAGATATGTTGCCATTCATAAAAATAGGACTTTATTGCTAGAGATCAGTAACGCTGCTAGGGAGCAACTGAGGCTGATTAAACAGCTAAAACTTTTGTCATAGTTTCATTTCTTAGAAGTAGAATTCATAAGTTGAACTGCAAGTGTGGCTCATTCACTGTTTGTTTTGTATAGAAAGCTTCTTCATTGTGAATCGTCTTAATTTGGATCAAGATATGATTTTTGAGTTGCTAGAAATGGTTTTCCTTCTTGTATCAGTCTTCTTGACCTTTTTGATTCTAATTATTTATTACTGAATTTCAGCAATATTTTTGGGTTCTTTCCGTTTGCCTTATGAAGAAATAAAAAATATAATTTTAGAGGTTGATGAAGAGAAGCTGAGTGAATCCTTGATTCAGGTATGTGAAAATGTTTCTGATTTTGTTCATAGTTTGTTTTCCACATAAAAATGCTGTAAAGGTATAAGAATTCAAAAGTAAGAATAGTGTAGAGTTTTCTGGATATCAGCTACAAATGTATCAGTTGTGTTTGCCGTGTTTTTAATTTCACTTCTATTTTTGAATGTGGTCGATTATAGCAGTAAAAATGTCTTTAAGAGACTCTGTTAACAAAAGCACTTTTGAATCTCTAACTCTATGAAGTTTCTCTTTCAAAAGGAAATCTCTGATAATTCTAGTTTTTCAGTTTTGAAGGCAAGCATTTACCAGATCTAGGCTAGTGGATAATGAAGTTTCATCAGTCTTCTTGTGGAAACAACTCTGCTTGTCACTAATGATAGATGAAACTACCTGAATGTTTCAGGGTACTGCTACATCTGTAAATCAAACCTGCTCTCAAGCTGGTTTGGTTTTATTTTGAAGCCAAAAACTCTCAGCTGGAGAGACGAAAGTATGGAATACAGCTTCTTTACATCCCTCTCTGATTTCCTCACAGTAGGAGGAGAGCAAGTGTGTACGCTGCCCCTCATGATCTCTGGGGAATGACAGAGTGTAACAGAGAAACATGTAAACCTAAAATGGTATATAGATGTAGCACAGCAATGATACTGGCGTTGAATTGGTTTATTTTAATATCATACACAGATTCACATTCTAGCTAATGTACTGGGCCTCTATTTATCCTTTCCTCCTTCCCTGTCTCCTGCTTGCACCCCTGTCCCAGTCCTCCCAAGGGTTTCTAAATTAATTTCTTCTTCCTTTCTTGGACTTGGAAAGTAGTTATTCCACGCACACTGGACTATAAACCGAGTAGGCACACTGGACTATAAACCGAGTTGCCTGGTCTCTTCACCGTTAGTTACATAATTCATAACTTCTTCAAATTTTAACACGAATGTTTTTTAACAAAATTACTATGTTGCAAAACATACAGTGTAAATGGAATTAAATTTTTCAAATTAAATTTTCTTGTCCTTTTTCTGCAGTTTTTCTTGTGTCACCAAGGCCTTCCTACATTTCTGGAGTTTTGTTTTCTTGAGGCTCTAAAGGAAGGGCTGCAGTTTTCTCATAGACCTCAAACTATTGGACTCGCAGCGCTACATACAGTTATATTTTCTTACAGTGTCATATTCTGAGACTTATACCACCTAACCTAATGTGTTTGAACATACAGATTTGATATCCAAAATTCTCATTCATGTTTCATTTGGGATAATCCTTGATTTTTTTTTTACAGTTGTTTTTTTTGATTGCTATGGCATAGTGTTTTTGGAGCTTCCCATTTGATGGGAAGCTATTTCCAATCTGAATTTGATGTGTTTCACTGTGATGTCCTGCTTCAGGCCATGTTGGCATGAAATTGATTCGTTTTGAGTATGGGCCCTAAAATTAAATACAAAGAATTTCTAATATATATCTATACCTCTATATATCTCTATATATATACATATTGCTAAAAATACTATCTTTGGCCACTGAGTAAGTCTTCTCACAAAAAACTTAAGCACATGATACATAGTATTTGGAAATAAACTTAAGACTTCTTACTTATGTTTATTGATCAGAGATATCAGATCATTTGATTGAGAAGCCCACAGGATTAGTAAAATCAAAAATCAACAGGGAGAAAAACCCCACCTTGAGTACCTCAAATGCAGAATCGTTTCATATTGGTATTGTTATCTCTACAACAAACGTAGAGATATTTTGAGACCTGGGTTAATAGAAATAGGATGTAGCATGTTATGCTGAAGTATAAGGTCATGATCTTACATGTGAATTGTACAATGCTGGAAGCTAATGTTGTAATGGTTGCTTATCAGTTGGAAATCATTGAGGAGAAGTAATAGTAAGTCTGTGCTCAACAGGACGAGTATAGCTACCCCTGTGAAGTAGCTCTATGGGGCACAGCGAAGCCCTCACCCTGTCCCAACCACTTGCCCTGGCCTACTTGTCAGGGCGGGGGGGTGCAGATTGCCCACCCCTGGCCTACTTGCAGAATGAGAAACAGAGTCGGCCTTCAAGCTGCACAAGCACTGTTCAATAGTAGCTAAAACATTGGTGTGTTATCAATGCTGTTTTGGTCACAAGGCAAAACAATGCCATATGGGCTGCTATGAAGAAAATTAACTTCATCCCAGCCTGACCCGGTACACCATAAAAAAGGCAAATGTGATTGCAAGGTGTATCAGGTCAACTGCTTCCAGTAGAGAGGATAATTATTATGCTTTTGAATAATGCACTTCTAAGACCTTATCTAAAATACTCAGTACGTTTCTCAAAAATGAATTTAAAATGGAGAAGCTGAACTTAAAAACTACTTAAGATGATTGAGGGATGGAGAAACAGTCTACAGAAGGAAGCTAGAAAAGATTGGCTTGATTAGATTAGCAATATAAATAGCTAAGAGGGGATATGACTACATTATAACTATATGGGGAGCATAATGTGCATAATCATTGGGGAGAAAAATGAAGTTGCATAAGTAAAAGGCACTGTTAACACCAGAATAAATGTATATGAATTCATCATGAATGCAACTATCTAGAAACTCAGCTGCCTATAATCTTCAAAAAACTGAGGCTTTGGAGGTTGGTCCGTTTCTGAAGGGAATGGTGTGGCAGAGTTGCTTCTAATAGCAGGGAGGCTTAGCTGATAACCTGGAAGAGATTCCTTCTGTGTTTCTAAAGATATTCTTGGAAATGTATTGGGGTAAATGGGCTGTATCATCTCTTTCATGTTCAGTCTGTTCTGGTTTATTTTTATTCTAATCTTCTGACTGAGTTATTAACTAATTTACCAGTTTAACAGTTTTCAATACTACTGATTGGAAAAATTTTCCAAAGCAAACCTTGCGTTCTTTCATGCTTCGCAAAACTTGCACTTTATAAAAATGCACATGTGGAAACTGCTTTGTTCTAAATATCAAAGTGGTGAAAGCCAAATGGGTATAGCATTACTGAGCATATAGAAAAGTGCTTTTTCAGTTATGCTTCTCAAGTCCTCGTTTCTTGCTGCTTTTCAAACTTATGTTGTAACACTTACTAAAATTAATTGGATTAATCAGTTTGAGTACATGGTAGACTATATACTGTTGTAACTCTTCCGTGAGGAAAAGACTAGGAAAAAATATTCTCAATTCCCAGTGTGTCTTTGAGATAAGTTCTTGTAAACATCCAGTTTTCAAACATCATGTTTAGCAGGATTCAGGGCATTGTGACAGTGAGTAGTGAGTGATAGTTTCAGCCTCTTAATGTCAGCCTTAGATTTCTGCTAGTTCTTATGTTTATGTAAACCGTTTTTATTTACCCTATTTTTATTTAAACGCACATCATCATGAATAAATTATGAAACTCTGTTTCCTAAAGTACTGACAAGGATTTGAGTATATGATCACTGAATGCTTTAGCTTCATTTTCAGTTATCCGATACAATTAATGAAAGTAAAGATATTTAGACATATATACATGGGGGGCTGCAGTGCTAGTACAGCCAAACTCCTCCCCTTCTTAGAAGCTAAGGGTAAAATGAGTTGATCTGTTAGCTCTAGACCATAAAGGGGTATGGATGAGGAAGAACAAATGATCAAGCGTGCTAACAGATTTTGGTTACATGGCTAAAAAAAAAAAAAAAAGGCAGTTCTAGTAGTAGGTATTTGTATTTCTGCATTGATGGGGTAGGTATTTATTTCTGCATTGATGGGGAAAAAAAAAGTTTTACAGTAAGCTTATTAATGTGTAAAGAAATACACGTTTCTGGCAAATACTGTGAAATTATTGATGACAGCATTTGGTAAATAGTCTACCTAATGAAAATGTAATTTTTTTTAACCCATTATTTAGTTAGTTCGTGTCTTTGATCTTTACCAGCATTAAACAGTCAACAAAATGAGCAAGAATGTTTTACAGATCTTTAATTTTTTTTTGAAGTAGAAATTTGTGAGACATGGTTTTGAGTTAATAGGAAAGGAAGCTTGCTTAGGTTTAAACACGAGGCCATAGCTCAATTGTATGACATCCAGGTGAATCTGATGCTTATCTCTGTCAAGTATATTAAACTCTGCTCACTGAGACACTCAGTAGCTCCCTGGTGTAAATGTAAAAAAAATCTTTCTGTAACAGGGATGCTTTGTATGAGACTGCTTGTCATCTTTATTTTTCCTTATTAAGATGGGTGAATGTTTGATTCTTTCAGCTTGGAGAATTAAGTTAGCTATCACTTGCAAATCTGGCAAATTAGACTGATGCCTTTCTCAAAGTTGTACCTTAATATGCCTACTTCATCAAGTTTTGCAGAGTGATCAGTAATCAAATTCTCCTAACGAATAAGAATATTGCAAGAGTGATGGCAAGACTGATATGTTCTAAAAATAAGACGTGTATCTCTAATAGTACAGGTTTCTCCAATTAAGATTTTTATATCTGGAAAAATATGCTTCTATAGTGCTGGTTGCTTTTCTGATTTTAAAGGGCACATAACTTTTTTTCATATCAGAGTCTTTTTGTGACATAGAACCGATAATGACTGTTTATGTCTCTGATAGTGTCAGTGTGCATGTCCCTTCTATTTTATTCATATCTTATGGGAACACATGGCAACACACCTTTTCTGGTGGGAGGAGAACTGATGGGCTAGTAACCTAACCAGAAGAGCTTCAAGTTAAAGGAGCATGTTCTGAAATGTTTTACTTCTATGACTAGTGTTGCAGAAAGCATCAAAAGATTTAATTTTTGTAGCTGTAGCACATTACCTTATTGTCACTAAAATCTGCGTTGTAATTACAATGCTATAGAATTGCATATTCCATAGACATTTTGTTGGAAGTAAACCTCTAAACCTGATGGTAGTTCTACCACTTATGCGAGTTTCAGAGGGTGGCTTCATAAAGTAGGAACTTCTTGTTGAAGAACATGGGCTTACCCTTTTCTCTTTAATACCTCAGGACCCGCTGTCTTTGTGTAGAAGAAAAAATGATTTCTGTGTGAAGGCATTTTTTTTTCTTAGTTATTTGGTACAGGAGTCCTTGCACTGTGGAGTTGGGCGAATCTCATGTTGATTTCTTCAGAAGTTATTAATAACAAAAGTGCACTACTTCTTTGGCCCCTATATGTATATTAAGTGTTTGTAAATTATCCAGCATACAGAAGCAGGTCGCCTCCTTTTACTATGTGGTTAGGCAATTACCTCCCCAAAAAATCCCCCTAAGGGTCGCAGTGGGAAAGCAGGAGGGATGCTGTGTTCACCTAGATCTGGAGGTATTTCTGCCTCTCTTCTATAGGTAAATGTCTCCAACTCAGTCCCTTTGATTTCTTCAGTGGCTAGTGCTCGCCCATAACTCAATGCCCTTTGAAATTTCAGAGAATCACACTTGCCTCCAAGCTACTACAGTGTTTTGGATCCCCTATCCAGTATCCAAAATAGTACATCATTTTTGTTTCTTGATTTTCCTGTCATAAGTCTTTAATATGAACAAAGGTGGTTAGTGGAGATTGGAAATGTGTGTGGACAGCTGTAGTGTAATCATCAGTTGTTAATATTTGAATTCACTTTGGTTTTTTGAGCTTAAGACTTATGAACCTTTTTGCACAAAAAAAGTCTATTGACTGTTGCTAGGTTGCTTGAATGTAAAAGTATACTCTTTTTGCCTTGAAGAATTACATTATTGTTTTGATTTCAACTAACATATATATCAAAATTTAAATGCAACCTAAACTTTTACTGAGTACCTATTAAAACAAAGTATTCTTCAGCCTTAATATAAATATTTTATACATTTAGCATATCTGTATTTTGAGATGTTAAGATAATATAATAAATTATACAATTTTCTTTGGGGACATGGATAAGATTTCAAGCAAGTCCTACTTCTTCCTGAGTTCCAGTATATTTGCCATCCAGAAGATCTGTACATGCAATCATGAGGGAAAAAAAAGATTGTAGCTAGAGTATAATTCTTCAAGGTCTGACAGCATCAAGGAGTTTTGTCTAACTTTTTAATACTGAGAAGGCATTCTTCAAATTAGAGACTGTAACAGAGGTGCTGATGTCTGTATTAAATAATTACTGGTTTGATTTGATGTTTATATAGTGTTAAAGCTGTGTAAATAAAATAAGCTTCCCATAATTTCCTCATGCATTTCCATGTTGTGATATTTTACGCGTGTTATTTTAAGATCTCAGCTAGTTTAATATAACAAATTTAATATAATGCCTTGTTTGTTTTAGAACCTAGTGAAGAATCTTCCTGAGCAGAAAGAACTCAATGCCTTAGCCGAATTAAAGGATGAATATAATGATCTTGCTGAGCCAGAACAATTTGGAGTTGTGGTACGTATTATTGCAAAAACTAACTGGAGAGTTCTATTTTGTCAAATAGACTAAAAAGAAAAATTTTGGGTTTAAATTATTTTGGTTAGTGTTTTTTGCAAGTCCTGCAGTAGGAAAAGTTACCATCTATTTATTGATGAGTAATAATGCCCATAGTGTATCATGTCATGCTTTACCCTTTGGTTTTTTGGTTTAAAAAAAAAAAAAAAAGCGTATGTGTATATATATATTTTATGTGTACATGTATATATACGCACATATGTATGTATGCATAGACATATAAAGTACATATACAAACACACAGAAACTTGCAAAATTGCTCTAGAAGAGGCGTGGATTATTCATATTAGAACTGAAGTTGTAGATCATATTCTGTTGCTTTTACTGGTGTTCTATATCTATATATATATCTATTCCAAAAGTAGGGATATCAAGTATTATAATGTCTAGAACCTGTCTCTGAATTAAATGATAAAATTTGCATAAGTTACCCTAATACATGCTGGTAGTTGATTGGATGATACCGAGTACTAAGCTAGGACTTGGAAGACTCTTTTTCCGCTTCTGGTCTTCCAAAGACCTGATAAGTCCTTAGGCAAATTAGTTCCTGTTTTCACTTCACTTTGTCAGTCTAAAAGATTATAATGATGATGATATATCCTCTGTAATGCGTTTAGAATTTATCCCTAACTCCACAGGAGCTAGGCTTGCTCTTGCTGAATTTTTATGGTGTTATGTATATTAAAATGTATTAAAACAGAAATAGAGGTCTATTAAAAGGAAAGAGTGAAACGAGCTTTTTACTAAAAAGCTCTGATTTGAGCATAATTTGGCTTCAGAAGTGCCTTTTGAATGTGTTTTTTTTGGGGGGCGGGACAGAACATAATTTGACCTAATGAGATTTTTTGTAGAGGATTTAGAAAATGAAAGATATCAATGACTTCTTTTGAAAAACTTGAGGCTATTGATTTTATTTTTTTAATAAATGGCATAAAGTTCCAAAAATATTTTATTTCAAAATAAAGATGAGGAATTTTGGTAGAAGTGTGATACATTGGTTTAGTCTTATTGCAAGGTCTGCAGTAGTAAAACGTTATCATCTGTTTATTGATCAGTAACAATCTAAAAATCTCTATAAATACATATTTGATGCTTTTCTTGAAGGAATTATGGCATGTAATATGTATAAAATATAATATATTAATGTATTATAATATCTTTAAGATATATATTAAAACTTATCCATATATACAGATATATGGATATATATTATATGCATATATACAGATGTATATTATATGCATATATTCGATATTATGTTTTATATACATACCTATAAATGTGTATGTATATTAAAAAAATCTGTTTAAAAGCACTGGAGGAGTACTTTGTTCCCTCTTTGTCATATAACACACACTTTCAGAGTGACTAAAACAGTGTGATGAAGTGAGAGTAGTACTGCCAGCCCTACAACAAGATGGGCTTTTGATCCCTGGGAAGGAGGGAAGGCAGGCCAGAACAATTGCCCTGTCTACTCTCTGATTTCTGCCTATTTTTGAAATGGCAATGAGCAAAGGATGCCAGGGAGCAGCTGATTTACCAAATGAATACTTCCTTATTTCCCTCCTACATAAAAAATGCCAATCAGAGTGGGAAATTAGATTTTGTGCAAGGAGAATATCTGAAAGGTGTCTAAGGCAAACACAGAATGGAAGCAAACAAGGTGGAGGCATTAGGACAAATGAAGACTCTGATGTCTATGAATTCTATTCAGTTAACTATTTAAAATAAGCAAAGAAATTCAGAAAATTGTGCATAATGACCTTGATTTAAAAGACTCTATAGACATTCCTTACTGCTATAAGTTCCTTAATGTTTCACCCCTGATCTTTATAACTTGGATCCTTTCCCAACTTGATCCCTTCTTCTGCCACCCACTTCCCTTTTACAAACATCATACCTACCTTGTCACCTCTGCTTCAGCCTTTCTACCCTATTTGGTTTTACTGCATTGCTCTATATAGCTTTTATATAAAGGTACTTCTGGATTAGTATACTGATTATCTGCATCCTCCCATCATGCTGCTCTGTGGTGGGTAGTAGTAAATTGCCCTTCTGCCGAGGAGAGCTGTGACAGTGGCACTGCATTCAATATTCAGCCACCTTTGTGGTCAACAATGTTTTCCTTATATACAGTCAGAATTTCCTGAGTGCCGTCTTGTATTTTGCTTCTTGTCCTATCACCATGCATCTTCAAGAATCCTCTGGTTCCATCTTCTCTGTACCTTCTCTTTAGGTAGCAACAGGTAACGGAGTCAAGAGCAGCTATTCAGAAAAGAATAGGTGTTGTGGATTAACCCTGGTAGGCAGCTAAGCACTGCGCAGATGCTTACTCACTTCCCCCTCTCATCCCCAGTGGGATGGGGGAAGAAGAAAGGAAGAATGAAAGTGAGAAAACTCATGGGTTGAGATAAAAATAGTTTAAGAAGTGAAGGAGAAGTGGAAGAAGAAAGAGAGAAAACAAAGGCAAAGAAATAAAACAAAGGCAATCACTTACTGTCTCCCATGTGGAGACTGATGTAGAGCCAGTTCCTGAGCAAAAGATGGCTGACCGATCTAAGCCCCCCTCCTCCACATTTTATTGCGGAGCATGACATTATATGGCAGGGGATATTTCTTTGGTTAGCTTGGGTCATTTGGCTGGTTGTGTCCCATCCCAACCTCTTGCACACCCCCAGTCTATTCACTGGGTTGTGCAGAGTGAGAAAGTGGAGAAGGCCTTGACACTGTGCAAACACTGTTCAGCAGCAGCTAAAGCATTAGCGTGTTAACAGCATTGTTTTGTTCACAAATCTAAAACACAACACTATACAGGCTGCTGTGAAGAACAATTCACTCGGTCCCAGCCAGACCCAGTACAACAGGATTAGTCAAAGTTTATTCTGTTACTGCCACGGTTTGTTTGCTTTGCCTAGGCTTGCATAGAAGCATACGTTTTTTAAGAATTGGGGTGACTATATCTGACCACTTATGCAGACATGATGTGCTGGCTGTTTTTTTAGACAAAATTATTTCCCCAGTTTCACCTCTGTGCAGAAGGTATTATGAGAGAGATTCATTAATGTCTGCTATTTAATTAATCACCTAGTCTGAAATTTTGGCGGGGCATAGGACAGGCAGGATCAGGTTTTGCATTTTTTGCAAATTCTGACTGTATATAAGGAAAACATTGTTGACCACAATTTTGCACTAATTTGGTCGTAGTTGACTAATGGCCTTTTCATTTTGGGTATATGTTAATATGCTGCTGGAAATGAAAGACTGAAAATAAATTTAAGGTGTAATTATTATAGATATCAAAAGGCTGATCCAAGACAGTGGAAATGTTTTTCATAAAGTAAAGAAAACCTGCAGAAAATAAGTCCATTTCATTCTTTGCCACGCGTTCAGCTTCATTTTGGTTGGATGAGTATGAATTTGATAAGTGAAAGAACCTAACTGATGCTCTAGTTTAACTGCTTGTATGTGAATTGGCTGCACAATGAGTATAAAAGACAGTGCAAAAACTAAGTTTTCTGTCATCAAATGTAAAGTACTGAGATACTACAGAACTTAAGTATATGAAAACACTTGGAGAATGTTTTTGTTCTCATATTCGGAAGATTATTTACCTCCAGTTCAGAAGATCACAGGTTAGAAGAAATCGTTCTTTTGCTTTGTCTTGATGTAGTGGTAAAACAGAAACATTTAATGAAATTGCCAATATACAAGTAGTATGTATTAAGTACGTGTAGATAGTAAGTGTTCTTAGTACACTTTTTACCAGAGTTTGAATTCATGTCAATTTATGTTTTACTGAGAGATTTCTGAAAACCGCTTGAACTGAGAGGAATGGCCTTGTGTTTTTGCTGCTGTTGGATAGTTTGGTTTTGTTAGTTTTTTTCAGATGTCTGTCAGTAATGTCTAGTACTTACTCTTTTTTCCTCATTCTGTTTATATAGTAGTATGATTTGTGTCTTTCTTGTAATCTTTCATTCTGATTCTGCTGGCAGTTTCTTTCCCAGAAAATTATACAACTATAAATGAAAGTCACTTGGGAAACTGTATCATCTCTATTGGTTGTCTTGCATACCTGGGGATCATGCATTTATCTGACTTACGATTTCTACTGGATTGAAACTAAATGGTCCTTGTATTTTCACTCGATTGTGTTGAAAAAGTCATAAAAATATCCTTATTTTCCGACAGGACTAATATAGTTGTGATCACTTTTTTGTTGATTCGTTCTTTTAAGGAATAACCAACTATAAAAAGTTGAGAAAGAATTTAAAAGTATTTAATGGAACATTAATTAGAAAAAAACTGCTTAATCAAACATCTCCAAATGGTGATGTTTGCCTTATGAAGGGACTAAGTTTCCTGAAGCTTGTTTGCTTATTCAACTTTACTATCTGGTTTGATAAAAAATATTACATTTTCTTATGGGTAGTGATTCTGTCTTTTTTTTAGAGGCCTCTAACTACATTAATACTACTAAAATGCTGGTTTTGTTTCTGATTTTGACTTAATTGAACAATCCACTACGGTGGAAGAAATGCAGCTGAACTTGACTAGAGTCTTTTTTCGTTATGTGTTGAATTAATTTTAGAGTTTTGCTTTAATAATAATGTTAACCTTGATGTTAAGAAGAAGGCGTTTAGGACTAGAAGACAGAAAGACTATGTTAAGTAGTATTTAAAATGTGTACCCTTACTTGTATGTAAATTTAGGTAAGTTAATTATTAGGAGATCCTAATTGGATAATCACTGTGCTCATCAAATTTAATAAAGGTTGGAATACGTTGTTTAAAATTTGTGTAGAAAAAACATACTCAGTAAATTATTAACTTATTAGAAGAGACCGATTATCTTAATATTCAGCTGATATGTAAATGAAAATTAGAATTGAATTCTCGTTTAGATGAAATGTTAAAATCAATTATATATTCAAATTAGTTATTGGAATTGAAGTTATATCCTGGGATCAAAAAAGGCAACACAACTTCATATAAAGAAAAGTTTGCGTTGATGTTGAAGTAGGGCAAGAAAAATAGATTAACTGAATCAGTTGTATAACATTAAAAAAGCTAGGCAGAATGTTCTCTGATTTTTAAAGGTAAAACTTGTGTTTAAGAGTTAATTTTTTTTCTGTCATGGGGACAGCTGCAACTTCAATAAGGATACTTGCTTCAAATTTTGGTGCCAGTCGAATAGTTTAAGTATTAGAAAAGCGTAAGTCCCATCTGTGCTTAAAGTGTGAGTACCAACCATTTGCTGTCAACTCAGAGGACAGGCTAAAAAAAAAATATTTTGCTGTGTTAGTGGTATTTAAACTCAGAAAACTTTACCAACTTTTTTTTACCACCAACTGTGAGTTTTAAAGTCGAGTTAATAAGAATATTATCACTTCTAAAAGATCATCCCACAATTACGTGATGCAAATTTTAGTTCATAACTCTTTAGTGAGCCAACAAAACAAATGACTGGAACTGACCAAAGAATTCCCTTTCTGGTGTGTGTTCTGGGAAAGTGGGAGGGTTTTTTTGCTGGTTTCTAGTGAATGAAAAACTTTCTTCAGCTGTGAAGAACTGGGTTATCAGTAATTTCATTGTTAATGCAAGAGGATAAGTTTCACTGAGTAGTTGTAGTTGTAGAGACTTGCAGATTCTGTGACCCTTTTTGCTGAATAACCAGGATTAGCTATCCCGAACAGTCCTTGCTGGGAGGTAGACGAAGTGGGAAGAATTGTACAAGTTTATTGCACCTGCATTGGTTTAGAGTCATTCTGTCATTTTAATTGAATTTATTTGCCACTTGTTTTGCCTCATTGTAATTTCTAGAGCTGCTGAAGAATTAATCTTTCTAGAACATTGCTAGGAAAATGAAAAAGGCAACTGTTTAATATATTATAGGTAAGAGGCTGAGTAAGTTGTCTGAGTAAGTTGACAAATTTGTATTATAGGAATGTCAGCTTTTTTCCTTAGGAAGTGAGGCAAATTTAATTGTGCTTTTTGCCTCTTTCTTCAATAAACTTTGATCCTAGTTTTAATACAGGGCTTGAGAATTGAATGATGATGATAAAGAATAAAGAACTGAATTAAAGAACTTGATTAGGTAGAGAATTCAGACAAGGACCTTTATGAAAGCCCAGAGGGGGAAATAATGACATGCAGTCCAGTGCTCACAGTTAACTGGAAAAGAAATACCCATTTTCTTGGTTCTTTAACTGTTTGTGGTGAAAGCTAATGCTTGCTGTTACATGCACCTATTTGAATGTGTTATTTCTTATATGCCCTTGACACTAATTTTGTAGAACTATAAACAATTTGACCTTTTTCTCAGTGAATATAATCTTTGTACCTTACTTATTTTCAGAAGATTCCTCTAAGTTCAGTATGTTTATCAGCCTTTGAACATGTGTATTTAGAAACATGCATATGAAAGAGAAACCGGGGAAGGGTGGGGAAGGAGGAAATAAAATAGCATTTATGATCATCTCCTATTGATACATAAAGAGCATAATGTAGATTAAAAAGTTTTGAATTCTAAGGAAACAACCCACTTGAAATGGCTTTTATGAAATTGTCAAGATACTTTTTAAATATTATGCAGATCAGCAAATGAAATTAAAACTTACTACTGGTTTGGTAGTCAAACTACCTTGCAAAACAAATAAATGGTCAGTGTTCCATGACACTTCACAGCATTAAAAAAAGAAGGAAAGTACAAATTGGCTGAAGTGTTGTAAAGGATTATTCTTCCCAGGTGTTTAAGTCGCACTGTTCTGTTGGCTTATACATGTTTTGTTGTGCTCTGTTTTCAGGATCTAAAGCTTTTGACAACTTTTTCTGTGCAATTTTGAATAAAATCAGTAATTAGAGATTGTTCTACAAAAAGTTAAAGCAAATTATGTGATTAATTTTAATTTCCATCTACTCCAGCTCAGTGAAGGTAGATCCTTTCAAGGCAGATGTTTTCAGTATGATATTTCTGAAATACAGAATGATTAGAAGTATAATATTTCAAGACTGCATGATGTTGGCTTATAGAGGCTCACAGAGAAATTTGTGACAATGGAGAAGTATAAAAAAAGATTGCAAGTTATGCTTGAAACGCTTCCTTCCTGATCCTTTCCTTTTCCTCGTTCCAGACTGATCATATGAATTGTTTGAGACCATCTGGAGTGCCTTCATATTTATTTTCATTTTAGTACGAATTAGTCATTATTCAGGCCACCCAAGTCTTTCCTGTCAAAGTTATTGCTGCTGCTTCTGGTAGCTGTCTGTGGTAGATAACGCCAGTAGAAAAATCATGGTTCCTCAAGGAGCCATGGTAAGGCTTTGGGCAACAGGGACATGAGCACATAAAAACCTTTCTGTTTTGATAGCCAAGTTCCGTGATTTGTCACATAACAAAGCTTTTCTTTCAGGGGGACAAAGTGCTTCAGGAACACCACTGATAGTGAATACATTGGGGGAGAAATCTTTCTGTATTCTGCTAATTAAAATTAGGAGTTAGATTTGGAAGGTAATCATTCTTGCATTTAAATGAAAATTTTTAAGTGGATTAAAAATTTTCAGTACATATTTTTTCTCTTAAATATCTCTTGTGAATTATAGTCCACTGCTAAGTAGGAGGAAATATTACTGATCACTTGTGCAAAATATGAAAGACATGGACGTATTTTGGTAGCTAGTCTAATGAAATTGGTTTTGGGGATTTAAACTAATGAATCACTAAATACTTTTCAGTATATCTGTCATTTACCAGGTTACAATGCTGTGATTTATAACCTCCCATCTTTTTATTAGGTCAGGAAGGAATGAGTCCTGTACTGCCTTTTGCAAACTGTCTAAAACATAAAGGTGATAATATCTTGGGCAGTAGTTTTACAAAATTTCTTTAAAAGGGCAAAAAGACAAGAGGTTAAAAAGCGGGCAGTATGTTGCCTACAAAATATGATGTCATGGGATCAGAACGGACAGAGTATACCAGAAGTATATCCTTACTTTAGTATCTCTAGGTGTATTGTTTTTTATGTAAAACTTACTGTCATGAATTTCGGCCAAAACCTCTTTATCTGCATCCTGAATCTGATTATTCTTTGGAACACACAGATTGGGACTTCTTGATGGCGTGAACTTAAATTCTTAGGATCAAACATATATCATAGTGTATCTCTAAAATACCTTTGAGCTTGTTTGGTAACTATCAATACTGGTAGGATTAATATTATTTATTTTATAACTCTCTATAAGTGTAGATAATAACGCAGTTTGGGTTTCATTTTAATTAAAAACTGCAAAACTAAACACCTTGTTAGATGTAATACTGTCATCTGTAAATATCACAATCAACAGCTCACATCAGTACAATAGCAGTAAATATTTCATGAACAATAGTACTAATGTGACCTGGCTTTATATAAATATCTGACTAGTGAAGCTTGATCTCCTGTGTCTCAAACTCACTTAGATATTCCCATGTCCTTCCACAAGGGTCCCTAAGAATTCATTGTCCCTCTCCCCTATTGCTCCCCCAGGGACCAAGAGCAAGTTGGGCTATGCATCCGCTCAGTAAGAGAGTCTAAAAATGGAAAGTATAATTCTTTAGCTTAATCAGGCTGAAGTGTAGCTGTTTGTGTTTGTGCTGGTATCAGTGCACACACTTGAGAGATTGTTGTACCATTTCTGAAGGAAGAAAAACTGAGAAGCTTAGGTTTGGGAAATTGGTAAATATCAGAGTTCAAGGGTAACTTCACTGGAGATGTGATGAAATGTTTGCCACGTGTACCTTCAGGCTGATTTTCAATTCTTGTTAACTGGTGGAATTGACTTACATTTCCTTTGCTGGGAGGAAGGGTTTTGGCAGTGTGCATTCAGTGAGTTTGGAATTCACAAGTTAAATGGTTTGGTAACACGAAGCACTCTCTTATTTTCAATATGTTGCTTCACTGAATTTTTTCAGGCAAAGTGTATGGTTTGGGGAAAAATACCTGTGGGCAGGTATGGATTCCTGGAAATACAAGACAGGCAATGAAAACATACAGAAACTGTAGTCTTGCTGGCTGCACAATATTGTTTTTAATATAAGCTATTTTGCATAAATAAGTTTTTAGTTTTTTATGTTCTGATTTAATGTTTCTTATTTTGTAGATGAGTTCTGTGAAAATGTTGCGGTCACGTCTTAATGGGATCCTTTTCAGGCTTATGTTTGAAGAGCACGTAAACAATATCAAACCTGACATTATGGCGGTTACACTAGCTTGTGAAGAGCTGAAGAAGAGCGAAAGCTTTAGTAAGCTTTTAGAGTTAGTGCTGTTCCTTGGAAACTACATGAACTCTGGCTCCAGAAACGCACAGTCTCTTGGTTTTAACATCAGTTTTCTTTGCAAGGTAAGATGAAGCTATAAAACTTGTTAAGTGCAGATTCATGAAACGCACGACACGTGAGAAGGTACCCTAAATAGGGAAAAACATTCAATCAGTGTAGTTTACTGACTGTACCTCCGTTTTTAATAACGGATGGATAAATACAGAGTAAACATTTCTAGGATGGTCCCCTGCTATAGCTGTCTTTCTCAGTGCAATGGCAATTTAAGGCAGTTGTTTAATTGTAAGTCTGTTCTGAGTCTTTCTGGAAGATACATGTAGAACAGCTTTTTTGATCTGAATTTGTTCAACTATCATCTTGTCAATAGAATATACATAGAGCTCTGAATATGTTAAATAGCTCTAGCTACTCGTCTTTCTTCCCATCTTCCACCCAGCTATCCCTCAAGCAGTACCACCGAAATAAGTATTTGGGATTAAAGATGGACATTGTTATCCTAGGTTTAACTTCAGTTGTGGTGGCAAAATATGGGATGCAATGAGAACTTCAGAATCTATAGCAGTCACAATTTAATGTGCAGTGCATGTTTATTTATATGGTAAAATGTGTGTAGGGCATTGATGTGAACTTGACCATCTCAGTTTGTAAAGAAGCTTTGAAAGTATCTTTAAAATAAAAGGATGCAACATTTGTAAACAGATTTAAAAAAAAAAAAAAAAAAGGCATAACTCTTGCAGAGGAATTTTTCAGTTATTTTTTGTTTGGTCTTATCAGAGGGTCCAGGTTTCAAGTCTCTTTTTTGGGCATCATGAGAAAATCTGATGTGTACCTCAAGGAGATTTAACCTTGGGGGGAAAATAATATTTCAAATACACAGCAAGTCTGATCTGACATATTTCAGTAGAGAAAGACTCTGCTTGCTGTAGTTTAATACAAAGATGTTGCTAACTCCTGGTAAAATAAAAAACATCACCTAAGAAATACTTTCATTCTTCAAAAGCTTTTTTAAAGAGAGGCCAAGTTGAAGGATTTTTTCATGAATCTAGTGCTGTGTTTTGTTTTCGGCAGCAGTTGAATCTAAAGGGAAATTAATGTTTTAAGTAGAAAACTACTTGTTAATGATGGGGAGGGGAAATTATGATGCTGCATGAATGGTACTCTAGCATAGCATAGAGAAGGTATTCTTGCACTCCAGGTGATAGATTTATGAACTGCTGTCAACACAAATCCCACAGATGTTGACACAGCTAATGTAGATTGACTAATCCTGCAGATTGTTCTCTACTGAACTGAATAATTGCTGAAGCATAGCTATCTGTGCTTACAGCAAAATTTAAAATAACTGAGACAAAAATCTATGAGTATTTAGTTCAGCCTTGTCCTCAGAAACAAAATCTATTTGTTAACGTTTTTTTTTTTGTTTTCAAGATAGATATTTCTGAGAAGTGTTCTTTTTTTTTTCTTTTTTCCCAGTGAGATTAGAGAAAATACTTAAACATTCTCCCTAATAAAATGTTGACTGTGCTGTTGCATTTAGGTACTAGGTATATTTTTTTATAAAGTGATGTCTAAAAAGAAGATAATCAGAAAGACAGTGATGGTTGTTGGAGCAAAAAAGGAGGTCTCACCAAAACCTAGACATGAAATTGTGTCACTAATAGCTCTACATATTGATTAAACCTTGTGAATTATCACTCATAAGGTCCAAACTCAGAACAAATCACTTAATTTAATGGAAAAGTAGATAAGTTTCTCCGGACAGAGTGACGTGTGCATTGTCTGCAATTTAAATTTATTGTTTGTTACTCAAGTTAAAAGATATTTTCTGCTCTCTAAAGCTCTGGTTTTCATTACTTTATGTATTTGCCATTCTAAATTGAATTAGATTAGTATAATAGTGTGCTTTTGCAAGAGTTACTTTTTTCAAATGGTTTTGTACCTGTACTTATGCTTTAGTATCATATTTAGAGAAGGAATCTTCTACTCCATTGATGTCTAATTTTAGAAATGAGGTGCTTTTGCACAGTTAGTATTCACAATGGATTTTTTTTTAATTACTGTTAAGAATCCAAATTTATATTTGGGTAATGACTGCTTTTATGCATTGGTTATTGTCAACTGATAAAGAAACCAAATGCAGTTGTTTAATAGCTTTCAAATTCTGCCCTCCCATTTTCCACCCAAAACAGTAAGATGGCTTTATTGGCTTGTGTTATTAACTAAGAGTGCAGTCTGACAGGTCTCCGTTAACTGTTGTGAATAGTACAAAACATTAAACTATATCAGGTGGCAATATCTTTTATGAGCACCAGGTTTAATATCTGTCTACATCCACTTACCAGCTTTATTACATTATTCAAACAGTCTCAAAATTTAGGATTGTTGGTCAATAATTGGCCTTCACTGTGAAAGTGAAAACTTGTGTATGTGTAAGCATGGTAGGGTGACTGTATTGTCCTGTTTACTGAAATCTTGCTGTGAATTAAAATTTCTAATTTATATTTCTTGGCTGAAGAAGGCAATAAGAGAAATAAGCGTTACCTAACAGCAAGAACAAGGCAGCAGTCTGTTTGCCAGTGTCATGTGGCTTACATGTTTTTGCTCTGTGGGACATCCGAGTGCTACTAAATTTTGAAGGCTGTGTGAACATTGAAAGGCTGTGTGTGTCTGTGTGTGTGTGGCAATTTGAGAAGGCACTGTTACCATGTGAGAGGTCTTCCTTGAATAATTTTCAAGTGCCTTTATTTCCTCTCCTAGGGAATGTATTTCAGTCTTCAAGCTTTTCAAGAGGAATTTGGAAGCCTTTATTTTACGTTTTGATAGAATACCTCTAAAGCATAAAAATTACTAACTTATTATAATATTTTGTGAAATATTTGTGCACTGTTTGTTTTTATGTATGGAACCATGATGAGCAATAGGATGTTACAATTTAGAAGTCACCCTTCCATAACCTCAGGTACATTGTTAGGTTAGAATTCAGATATAACATGCCAAAGAAACTTTGTCCTAACTTTTTGTTTTGTTTGCCATAAAACCTGCTACCTCTTTTTTTTTTTTTTTTAAGCAACTTTAGAACAAGAAGAATTTCTTACCAGTTTTAAACATTACTTGTCTAAAGTAAGAACTGCTTCAATAGGGGTTTTAAAATCAAACAAGACCATCTGGCTTAATGTTTTAAAATGTTGGTCATTTCTTTATCTAATTTTTTTTACTTTTGGTTGGTGATGCTCACAGTAAGATATAAGTTAAATAACAGTATTATCCTCTGAATATTGTTGTTGTGGAAGGACTTCAGCTGTTATGTGAAGAGAATTTATAATAAATCTGGCTGACTTGGCTCATATATTAGTTTTTAGCTGTTCTTTACTGTATGTTGATGTTTTGCCTAAAGACGAGGATTTAAATCTCAGAAAAAAATAACCAGAAGACATATTAGGATAAGGGGAATCAAACCAGTGGATATTTGATCAATGACTTTTAAAGTCTTGATGTTTAAGTTTTTAGTTTGTGGGTTGGGTTTTTTTGTGGGGGGTTTTTTGTTTGGTTGGTTGGTTGGGGTTTTTTTAGACCAATGACAAACTATCTTTAATGTCAGTGGACTTTCTGCCCATGATAAGAGAGCTTTTAATTTTTTTTTTGGGGCAGCTGTCGGCAAGGTAGAACACATGTCTGTGTATACATTTCTATGTGCAGAATACACATAGAAAGCAGAGTTGTTTTAATGATGAGGTATCCTAATGTGATGAATTCACTTTTCAGTAAAACCTGATTTTTGTATTGATTTTTCTTTTTTGTCATCCTTGAACAATCTTAATTGTCTGTTTAGTAGATGTAGTACGAACGTTGTACGATCTGAAAAAAGAAGAGAAAAAAGGCAGGTATTCATTTGGGATAAATGTTTGTTCTTGTAAAATAAATGTTCTTAAAACAGAGCTGGTCATTTCATACACAGAAATCTGTTATTGTGTAACAACTTTTATTAAAACATGATAAAGAAAAGAAAGCTTGAATACAAACCTGCCTGGTCATAGCTAAAATCTAATGCCTGTATAGTAACCGCAAATCCTCAACACCAGATTATATCTTTCTGGATGTTACACTGCAGTATATGATGTTATTGAAGAAAGAAATTATTTGTAAACAACCTTTGGCAGAAGACAGAGAACTTAATTTTGTTCAAATAAGAGAGATCAACATTAGAATTCATGCGCTGTATCAAGGCTGGCAAGCAGTAGCAGCTACTCTGATGTATGCGCTGGAGCATTCACAATTGCCTAAGTGTTAAGCGCTCTGTGAAAATATAAATATGGCAGAAAAAGCAGTAAAGGTCAGAGAGGCTGCTGTAGTAATTCACTAAAGGTAAATCTTTTCACCAGTTGTTGCATATGATTAATGTGTACGAATGCTCCAACTGCTATTCTGAACCTCTATTGCAGCAGTTACTATCTCTTATCAAGGACAGCAGAACCCTCATAGTTCTATAAAGTTATGATAGACAGAAATTTAATTGAAAGAAAAGAGGTTTGCTTTAGGCATATGTAGGGTACAACTTTTGTTTTTTGTGGTGAATTAATGTAAAGACTAACAGCAAGCATCCCTCTGTTTTAATAAAGCTTTTGTAGTATTCTAGCTGGATCAATGTGTATTTTATGTAATAAGTAATACTATGTTACTACTTGTTCATAGTACAAATACTACAAGACAAACTGTTTATCTAGTTTGAGTATTACTGAATAGTGTACATTTATTAATTTTCTACCAGCCCCTTTTCTGTTAAGGTGGGAAAGATTTCTAGGATATGAAAAGTTATATAATCTCCTAAAAATCAAGAGAAAGCATTTTTTATAGCTTAGAAAGCTTTTTTTATAGCTATAATAATCAAATGTCACTCTAGTGACAGTTAAAACATACAATTTTTTCCCTTACATTGGCTGTCACTTTTAACCCTCACACCTGAAAACTTAATCCAAAAGTACCTGTTTTAAAAAAAAAAAAAAAATCTGGAAGGGGGTTATGGTATGATTTGCATGTTTTAAATGCTTTACCAAGATACTACACG